AATATCGAAGAGTATATCTATTGCTCTTTAACTTGAAATGCATACTTGACTCATAATCATGGATATAGTAGTTTTCTTGAGACTGAAGACCCACTTTGCTCATGAGCACTAAGCATAAATCGATTTAGACTTACTATATATTACCTCCGATCACCAAACAACAAAAAAAGGGAATCTTGTTCGGAAACTCGCAATTCATCGTCGATTGCTAGTTTAGATATATGTATACCCATTCAGCTTTCCTAACAGACATAAACACAGAAAGTCAAGTAGTATCAATCAGCTTTGTCGCTCGAGTATTGCCTCCTCACCGGTGCATACTCATCACTCTGTATCGGATCGAGGGCATGACATTCAGGTGAAGTGACACAGAATAACTGGGCTGAAATTACATAGTAAACATTTTGCAACCCTTCAGTGGATAAGCATGGGTGATATCAAAGGTTTATCGTTGGAATCCGGCAAATTCACTGAATTATCAATCAAAACTTTGCTAATCTTCTCGGTAATGACCAGCACATTGAAGTGAAAACACAACAACGACTGAAGTTCACAAAAGAAAGTAGATTTCATTTTTATTTGCGTATACTATATGTAAAATTACAGATATTATATACAAGATATAAACAACGTTTCGTAAATTCACTAGCGATACATACCTACAGCTATAGTATTGCTTTTTTTTACTGAATACAATCTGTGCAAGATAATGTAAGAAAGTACTTATGATTACTATATATTAGCGTTTTTCATTTAATCAATCAAAACTGTAGTGGATATGCATACAATATTTGTCAGCAATATCCTTCAAAAGTTACGATACAAAATGTGACCACCTGATCTGACTGTGAATACAAGTATGTAAATAGCATTTTTTTAAAAATGTGCTGGCTTATGCAACCAGTAAACTATGTCTACAATAAAAGACCGACAGTTTGTGAGTTCAATTCTAGCAAGCAGTTTCTTTATGTATTGATGAAAAGTTATGAATTATAAGTCTTTAGAACAGAATCAATTATTGAGAAAATCTGTAAACTAATATGGCAACGCTTAGAGTACGCCTTAGCATGAAAATTACTTGAATAGATGGGAATCAGATTGAAGTGCAGAATGATCTGAGTTAAAATTAGTTATCCGGGGAAACAGCCATTTTAACATCCTGATTGAATTCTAAAACAACGCATGAACTATTTGAACAGAAACTATCTATTCCCAAGGTTATAGTAACTTTGCATGTACGTAAATTAGTTATCAGGTGATAACCGACGTCACTATCAAATCCATGGTACTAATCAAACTCCATTGGTTAGATTTGTAGCGTAGCCAATATACTATGACATGAAGCTGAGGTGTACTGTAGTTTATGTTAGATTTTAAAAGACATTCGACTTAACTTAAAAAGCTACTCCACTTAGTTAACTATGACTCTACTATAAGATACTGATTGATTAGGTGTGTAAACTCACATAACTAAAGTGGTAATGACGACGTACAATGAAATGAATGGTGAATAAAGTAAGTTTGTAAACCATGTGTAGTTTAGAAATTTAATCTGACACATCATGAATTTCAAACTTACTGGAAGTATGGTGCACTGAAGGTGGTGAACCATGAAAACAATCACTGAAAGCACAGTAGTACTTCGGGTTTTCATTCCTGACAGATTTTCCGTGATAAGTGTTTCGGATAGGTTATTTATCTCAGTCTGATATTTGCAGGAATTCATCTTCACTTTTTGAAGGTTTTCTGGTCAAACGTAAAACCTCATTCATTCACATTCAATGGAAAAGTTGTTTCATATTATGCTAAATTCATTTCCATGCGAAAGTGTATGGAAAATGATACCCATTTTGGCTCTAAAATTAAAGCTTAAAAACACCTTAATTTTGGTATTTCTGACAACTTCAAATTCTTCCTGGATTGTAATTACTATCCGTGTATAGATATGCATTTAAACTATATTTCATCAATGTCTGTACACATAGTGGACCACATGTAAAGATTTCCTAGAAGCATATCAACTGTTTTTGAATTCTTTGAAACCACATTCTTTATTCAAAAGTTCTCTCGTTCCTGAGATTAGTGCTGAGGGCAAAACAATGAAAGCTACAAAGTTTAAAAAAAAAACTCAATACGACAGGGAAAGGAGCTAAATATTGATGAGTAAGATACCTCAACTTAAATTCTTTTCATTAGGTTCTACAACAGAACTAGTACCATACACTTAAGAACAGAAGCTTTACTTCCAAATAAAAGATAAAAAAGAAAATGACATAAAAATCTCGATCTAATTAGCATACATGTTGGTATGTACTTATCAGAACAGCATATGTAAGACCATACAAATGAGTACAATTAAAAAACTAAGTATGATTTTTTACATTATGTTGTGAGGCAACTAATACTGCTTAGCTATCCATAGGTTTGTGCCCATGAATAGTTAGATAAAAGTTGGTTGTTTAAGTTAGTGAGATACAGTAAAATGTGAAAATAAATATGAGGCATTTTATCTTGTAACATTCGATTATTTATCATCTACACTGATCAACTCTAAAGGAAAATTGCTTATGAAACAAGAAAAAATTAGAATCTGTAATTGCAAACTTCAAAAAAGTATATAGTTGAAATGAAGTTTGATTTCTGTAATACACCCTAGTAACTAATCGTTGCTGATAAATACTCTTCTCGCTTTAGGTGTCTTCGTGCTTTTTCAGCCAAACTATTCAACATGAGCGGTTAGTTGACTATGTATTGAGTAAAGGTGAAGATCAGTTCTGAAGTACGACTGTAACTTTTTTATTTCCAAAGTAAACTTCATACACAATCTAGTGTAGACTATTAAGATTCAGAAGAACCGAAAATCTGTTAATATCGTCTACAAACTCTGAATCAACCAGATCTGTTAGTGTGAAATCAATCTCAAATTAGCGGGAGGTCAATGTAATCAAATGAAAAAGAATAGTTTTTCATTTTATAATCTCCAATGAACGAAATCATTAGAAATTCTATCAATCATATACTAGCAGTCAAAAGAGTCAGAAAAAATAGATAATAAACTCAAAGTAGATTAAAACCACAAATTCAATTTAAAAAAGTCAGTTAGTTTAGTCGTTTAAGTGAATTGATGTAAAAAGAAATGGTACCACCTTTCCCATAATAGTTCTATGAGAAAATAGGTTACTTTCTTGAAACAAGATAATTACTTTACGGAACACTATATTTTACAACAAACATATTCTTATATATAGAACATGAAATGACACTTCCATAATTTTTGCTAACCACTCAAGATTATTGGTTCGTTTGTCAGTCAGGATATTCACGTTATAAGTTCAGCCAATCGTCTATCATAGTACAAAATGGGAAAAACAATAGAGCAGAGAAAAAAAATCAAAATAACTACCTTCAATAATTGTGATGTTAATACTAAGAACATTTGCATTGGGAAAATGTTTATAGTTATAGATATATTTACTAATAGATAGATGAATAATTAATAGCAACTGGTTAGTCTGTAAAAAAAAATAGTATACATCTTGGAAGAAGAAAATAACAAGGTAACGTTTTGTTTGGGTACACACAATAGAGAAAGGGAGGTGGAAGTAAAAAAACAAAAGGTGAAATTTCTTACAAATACATGTCCAATCAAAGAATATTGAGCAGAAATGACCAAGTTGTTGAAAATAAACTGGTCGAAGAATTTTTTGTGCAATCAAGTGGAATTAATTACAACAGTGATAAACAGACGGACGTAACTATAACACATGTGTAAAGATGAGATCGGTAAATTCACCGTGTATAAAGTGTCTATGCAAACAGACATGTTCTCAGAAAAAAACAAAGAGAGTAGAAACTGTAAAGTAAGATTAAACAAACAAGAGATCTTCATACACAAGCAAACCGAATAATAACAACTCTTTACCAAATATTTTTTTTACACAGAAACATGAAGTAAGCAAGGGGTTGGTCGTCATCATCATATGAAGTTGGAGAAAGAAAGAGATGCACACAATAAGTTTACAATCTGAATGAATAATTCCCAGTATATACCATACAAAAAGTAGTGTGGTACTGAAACAAATTCTAAAGGTGCAGATTACACGTGGGAAGAATTACCTGAATAAGGCATTTACAGACAAATACAGTGGAGGAATATGCCATGTTGAGGATTTTAAACTGGCAGGAGAACAAGAATTGGAAAAAAATTGCTGAAAAGTAAACAGAACCTAGAAAACATAAAGATAGTAAGAAAAAAATGACTGTTATTCTACGAAAGGTCAACACAAATGTGAAAATAGAAGAGAAACTTCCCACAGTAGTTCAATTAATTTACACCTTCACAAGAACACATGCATACGTAAGCAAAAAAACATGAATCATATATATATATATATATATATATATATATATATATATATATATATATATATACGGCATAAAACGCAGGAAAGTCTGATAGAGATACTGTTAATTGCAACATAATGATTTCAATTTCTGTCGTTGTTGTCTTAATTTGTGAGAGGTGCGCTGATCAATAAGAACATTCTTAATCAATAAGAAGAGAAATTGAGGGCAGGGGGATAGGTAACAAGCTAAAAGGATTCTACAGTAAAAATAAGTGTATTTTAAAGTTTTACATTTACAACTAACTGCTGCCCAATATATATATATATATATATATATATATATATATATATATATATATATATATATATGTATATTATATAGGTATTAAGATTTAGTTGTTGAACAATTCTTATAAATGTATAATCATATCAGTCCTAGAAACACACACATACAGAAATATACATAACCGTTAAAAATAACAGCAAAAATGCATTTAAATAATTAAAAGGGTGAATACAGTTCATGGGATATGAACATATGTTATGTATCATTGTATATATCTAGATGCATAAGCGCATAAAACACTAACAATTATACATACATAAATATACACAGGGGATAAGGAAACTAACAAAAATTCACTTCTTTTATGGTCACTTTACAATGACATCACCAGATGATGTTGAAGTCATAATACCACCATTCAACAGATGAGAGCTGTCAGTTCGAGATATTTCCATCTTATTATCACAAGGATAATAGTCTAACAGATATAGACTACTTGTACCAGCCAATGCTAGGGTATTTTCACGTGGATGCCAGGATAAATGCAGCAGTTTACGTGTTAAATCCATACATTCAACATTGATTTTACCCTCAGACCATGATGTTGAGGTGGCTCCACTTGTTCCATCACAGACTACTTGACAAGGTTTCAGCTTACCGCACAGACTGTTTTCCATTGCTTCACGAGATGCTTCCATTAGTAAATCTCTTGATGTGTTTCGCTCAAATACACGGAAATAATTGTTATATGAACCCGTCACTACATACCTGAGATAACAGTTGGAAACCGGAAAAAAAAACATTTAAAAATGAGTAATATACGACCAAAATAATATTTTAGTAAAGAATACAATGAATCGGTTAAGTAATTTGGTTATGTGGATGGTGAATAATTTGAAAATAGAGTTCACCATGTAGTGGCATTTTTAGGGACAAAGAATGGTTGCTAAAAACACGAAGACTCAGGAGACTTTTTTCCCTGTATTTTAGAATTTATCGAAAAAGCATACATTAATCTCGATCACTATTAAAAAAGATACACTGCGTATTTTTAGAATGTGAAGTCAATTACAAATAATATGCAGTGAATCCACCTGATACTTTGAGTCAATTTGACGCATTAAGCAATGTGAACCATGACATAGAATATTGATTGTGATATTGCTCGTTACCTGCATAAGTAAATATATAACTCAGTAGTTTATTCGCTGGTTTTTTAAGTTTTCAACTCTATCAACTCTATCTGTCTCGATTTAAATAATGAAGTTCTGAGTCGAGTATCACAAAACAGATGAGTTTCGCAATTCAGTAAGTAGATATTGGGACACATTATGTGAACCAAAATACATCCATGATAATCAAAGTAATACAATACAAAGTACATTGGGGCTGAGCTGTTCACCAGCTGAGTATTACAGTTTTTTTGATGATTAGACTGACCAGCAATAAGGTTAAAGGCATTACTTCAGTAAATACTCAACAACTCTCAATATAGTAATGATAGGTAGTGACTAACAGTGGAACCCAGGATGCGTATTTCGTCCTATTTAAGACTCGTCAGCTGGATGTACCTGTCTCCCAGTGAGTGATGCTGTTCCCACCGGGACTCAAGAGCGATCGCTTCGATCGCCAGAGCGTTATCCACTACACCACTCTTAATATGCCTATTTGCATACGTTGAAACTTTGGATACAGTGTTGGTTTTTCCCTTAAAATATTTCATCATCTAGGTCTAACGATCATGATCTTTAAATTCAGAAATTTATCTATGGTGAACGAAAATTCCCAACAGAATCTTTGTCAACACCATCGTAGAAAAAATCCATGCATTAAAAACATCCAGGATAATACATGAGAATCAAAAGAGATTCAATGGCAGAAATCTAACTTTAATCTCTCCAATTCATCTTGCTTGGAAAATGATTGAAAATCGTTTATACAAAACGCACATGGACAAATATGGACAAATGAGTGATAAGGAAATAAGAGGGACAGAAACATTTTGAAGCTCCTAATCCATTCTAGTCATGGGGCAATAAAACGGATAAGTGATTATACCTAGAAAATACTTATTTTCACTTCAAAATATGATAGCGAAGATGGATGAATTACTGAATATATAAATAAACAGTTATAATTTGATTACGTAAACCCTCTCTAAAAATGTATATTATCCAAGGAAAAGGGGAAGATAAAGTCATAAAATGCTGACACAGTGGAAATCTCATTTAAACTTTCAAGACATCGTGTTAAATATTGAAATAACCAAAGTCATTGTAAATAAATATAAACCGTTTTATTTTGTACATATTTTGCTGTATCATTACGCCTGTTGTCTCGTTGCCTTTTCTATTTTCCGAGGAAATAAGTGATCACCAAAGGTGGAGTCTGAAAGTTGTTGTGCAAATATGTATATACCAGGTTATATATATATATATATATATATATATATATATATATATATTACTCTCTAAGTGTTGAGTAACAGAAACTACCAAGCAACAACCCTCAATAAGGCGGCGCGGAGTAAATCTTGAAAACTAATGTAGTTCATTGGGTGGGTGGGTGAGGGGAAGGCTGTTCAGTGAATAGTTGTTCATCGATTCAACTACCAACAAGTGAAATAGGAATTTTTCCACAGCAGACCCAGATACATGAAAACGTTTACTATCAATAAAAGAAAGAGAGGCAAAGCAGTAGAACTATAAAATTCTTGATGACTTTGATATGATTATGAGTAACAAAAGTGTGCTCGAAACAGTAAGTAAATAATACTCTATCACTGTGAGCTGAGTCGAACAGACCGGTGTAATATGGAATCACATCTTATCACGAAGCCCAACCGCTTTCAGTGTTTACATTAATACAAAACGGGTTTGTATATATATATTTTATTTGGGAAGGAGTTAAATTTTCCGAAAACGGAAAACAAGTATTTATACCAGTACACTTAAAAATTACTTTTTATCAAGTCATTGTGTATTGGCGTTTATCAGATAGGACGATGTATGCACTAACTAGCTCAAGTCACTGTGACAGCAAAAGTGAGTAGCTAAAGAACTCAAATATTTAAAACCGATCCGGTGACTTATTATTCAAAATATCTTACTATTCTGTATACTAATTATTTAGCCTATAACTGTGATGTCTTACTTCCCATTAGTTGTGATCCATGCATAAACAATAGCAAGGACTGACGTAACTGAATGGCTGCTCAAGTTATCTCACTTTACATCAGTACATTGAAGTAAGTGGAGGTGAACAACGGGGACGAAAAATAAAAACAAATATTAGAAGAAAAAATTCATCAAAAAGAGGAGACAATAAGCACAAAGCTATATGACATTACGTTTAAGGTTAAGATAAAGTGTGAATGCATCTCAGATCGATTTTCAGGCATCCAGGTGTAATGGAAAATCTTATTACCAGGAGTGAAAGCATTCGCGGTCGCCCTAAATCGGAGGGTAAAAATATTGAATACTTAAAATCCTAGTTAAAGTTATTATTGGTTTTTGTTTTCGTTTCTCCTTCACATAAAATGAAGATAGGATTCACAAGTTAAATCATTCATTCATTCCACCCTAGTTATTCCAATGAGGTCACGAGATACGTCAGTCAATATTTTAACCAGCATACAAAAAAATAAAAATCAAATCGAAGTCGAGATCAGTAAATAAACTACATAGGATGAAATTAAAATAATAAACATTTGTATTTACATAGGAGAACTAACTGCATCAATAGTGAAAACTAGCTCACAGTTGACTTTTAACTCAATGAGGGTAGGACCTATTTTTAGCTTTTCTGTCTCTCAACATAGCTGAAACTGTATGATATTCGTTAACTCTGAACTCGTGATTCCAATTCAGTTGAAAGGATAACATCTTAACAAACTAAACCATAAATCCAACGTGAAGATCATAACATGAGTGTTTTAAACAAGGGGTTAAAACATGCACCATTGTAATATGCACATTTTATCGATAAATGAATCCTTAGAGTAAAATGAATAATACTGAAGACACTAATGATGAAAGTGATGATGAGAAACAGAGAAAGTCACTTAAAAAGGCGTTACGGATAAATAGCTAAATAATGTGAATTTAAAATATTTACATAAATGATTCCAGTTTGTTCATTCAGGTGGTAAATAATTAATATGATTAGATTGATCAATTGTGTACAACACTCTTTGTAAAAGATGCATGTTGTGCAAAAACGTTTTATGCTTTTATACTACGTTAGATAACTTATTATGCAGTCTCAAATGGGTGCATTTGCATGAATAATACTAAAACCGAATCCCAAATATCAGATTTATTTGTTTTATGAATCCTGATACAGAAATCTACAAATGTTTACACAACTGAAATCACAGTTATAGACTTCATGAACTGCTACAATATCTTCATATGATTATCCATAAGTTTTCTATAGTCCTAATCCCTACTCCAGCTAATGTTGCAGATTGAGAAAAACAGAGGCTACATTCAGTTCGACTACCTCATTCGATCAAGATTTCCAAATTGATTTATCACTTTATGCGTCTTGTTTAACACATACTTCACAATGCTTAAATTGTGACTGCATCACATTCAAGGGAAGTTACAAAAGCTACTGTGGCTTAAGACCTGTAACCTTTGAATATCTACATTGATTGGCTATTTTATTATTATTTTTCCCTTGGGTTCCTAGTGGAACATAGGGCTTCAGTAGCGCGCCTCCATTTCACTCTCTTCTCTGTAGTCTTTCCAACCTGGCTACACGACTGCCCACAAGCTTTAATTTCTTCCTCACATGATCTCTTCCATGTCACCCTCAGCTGGGACGACCAACTCGTCGTTTCCCCTTTGGGTTCCACTCGAGGACCTGGCCTAGCACGGATGTCCCCAGTCAGCCTTTTCAGTGTATGCCCAGTCCATCTCCACTTTTTTCCGCATATTTGTTGGGCGATGGGTTCTTGCTTCGTTGGTTCGATGCCAGAGTTCCTTGTTGTCTATTCTTTCTGGCCATCTGATCTTCAGAATCTAGTGAGCGTAGGCAGCTGTTGATGAATGTCTGTAGTTTGCTGGAAATGCTTTTCGTGACATGCCAAGTTTCTGAACCACATAGAAGCACTGACTTGATTTAATTAGTGTTGAAAGTCCGGATCTTGTTCACGCTTTGTGCTGAGTGCAGTAGATCTCCATACTGATTTCAGATTATTGAAAGACTGTCTTGCTTTTCCGATCCTGGCTAGTTTTGACATCATCATCTGTGCCACCTGTAGTTGAAACGATGCTGCCTACCTAGGTAGATGAAAAAGACTACTTTCTTTAGGTCTCTCCCGTTCATAGTGATTGGTGCTTTTTGTTGTTGTCAGTTGGGTACCTTCATCACCTCCGTCTTCTCTACATTCACCTGAAGTCCCGTGTTCGCTGCCCTGCCTCTTCTGCCAACTTGTTAGTTTTCGCCTGTAGATTTTCAATTTTGTGTGACACTAAACATAAATCATTGACGAAATCCAAATCTTTTAGGCTCTTTCCATCGGTCAAGCCAGCGTATGCCCATTTCGCTCCTCACAGTTTACTGCATGATCCAGTCCACCACAATCATGGCTATACTTCATTCTACAGTTATTTTAGGAGAGAGTAGTGGTGTGAACATGCTGTTTGTTTGATACCTCCACTAACCACATAAATTTATATATACTCACATAGTTATTCAAGTAACAGTAAAATATACACACATTAAAGTGAAGGATTTTAGTTAGCAGAACAGACAAGGTGAACACACATACTTTCTATAACTAATCGACACAATGCTAATTATAACTTTGCTCACAGTAATTCAGGTTAAGAAAGATAAAGAAAGAAAGCGAGGGAGAACATGTACACTCGCTATACAAACAAAGCTTAATCCATCAGTAAAAATATCGAGGTTGTGTAACTTTGCTTCGCTTGGATTGATGCCTAATAATATGTATGAATTATAAATATCATACAACAGAAAGCATCTTTTAAAATGCTATCAACAAACAGTCAATTTTACCAAAACATCTGTCTTAATTACTTGGTAGGATTATGGAACGAGAGCAGACTGAAAAACATTCATGCTGTTTGCAGCAGGAATTAATAATATAATGTTAGATGCATTCAATTGGTGGACTTTGTTCTTCTCAGTATTCATAACCAAGGTGCATCACAAAACCTTAATAGGATTCAATTTCCGTTGAAGAGTCGAATCTGCTATATTCCCAGTCAAAGCAAGAGACTTCAATGTCAGGCTATTTAAACCACTGCTGACCCTCTTGTGTGGTTGTATTACATCCACAAACTGGTCATAGGTGTTCGGGTCACGTAATATATATGGGTGTTATTCTACTTCACTATATTCGAGTAATCTGTAGTTGTTTAAATACATAATATTCAACACAAAAAATTGAAGCAAACAAATAAATAAATTGAAACAAAAAACCGAAACATAAAAAAGTGCACTAAGCGGCATCAAGATATAGCTATCTGTGTTGCATTAAGCATAAGCTTGGTACTACACCTTGATAACCTTAGTCAGTATCGTCATGAAACTTGATATCACTGCACAACAGTTGTTGAACCTCAACCTAGCACATCAAAGTGGAAGGACGCAAGATTAAAGACGAAGAAATCAAAAACGTATAGCTGAAAAAGGTGTATGATGATTAAGATGAAATTAATGTGTGAATGAGTTTGGGATACTGAGATCCATTCCTGAGCCCTATCGGAGAGAGTCACCTTCAATCACTTTGACCGATAATTCTGTGTTCCCCTACATGGCTAAGACGAACAGTCAGAAACATCATGGTCACGTCTAATTTTTTTCTAGCTTGTCATAATAATCCTAACTGGCACTAGTCAGACTTAAACATCACCTAAAGTACTGGAATATATGGTGAAACACAGATGTAATCCATCAGATCTATGAGACTTGAACTGATTCATATGAGAAAATATAGTCCCCATGGACAGTGTGGATAAATCTTCCTACCAATACCAACATTATTTTCCATCATACATCTTTTATCATACCTTATTAGTAAAACAGTTGATTTTACCATAAAAAGTGAGCCTGGGCTCAGTGGCTTAGATATTTGACCATGGGTTTAAGCTCACTCAACGGGGACAATTAGGCATCCTAATAATCCGGTATACATAAGGTATGGTTCACAAACTAACACATGCGTATGTGTTGTTATTACTATGAAATACAATAAAGCGATTATGGAACATGTTAAACTAAGATAATGCTCCCAGACATCATATATATATATATATATATATATATATATATATATATATATATATATATACTCAGATTGTCTTTGAAAAACAAACACCAACTTGTTTTACTACCTAGTTGCGAAAATCAAAGTAAGTGACTTGAGATTCAGTCCTTGGACGCATTGCTCGAAAGTTAAGTGCTTGAGTTAATGAACCACTTTTCAAAAGTGGAAAATATGTTCAATGAAAGCCGTTTAAGGTGAGAAGGAATCAAGATAACTGTTCAATATAGGCATTCTAAATCAAAACAAGAATTTTGTCCCAGATATTCAACATAAAGCGAAAATATTTAGATTCAGATATCTTCAATTTTCGAAGAAACTGCAAAGGTAAACCTTATGGTCCTCAGTATTAAAGAGTGAATAAATGTTAATTGTGCAAATATGAGCAACTACTGTGTAGCTAGTGTCGGGTCAACTAAACAAGAATCGGTGCAGCTAGTGAGTTCAAAACCAGCCGATCCAATAGTTTAGTGGTCGATTCAATTACTGCCATGTTAAGTGAATATCTTAGTGTTGATGAGGTCGAGGCCTAAGTCTACGGCCTCTTATCGACACTCAACAGAAATCAGAGGATAGAGAACCCACAGCTGTACGTACACAATACAGCGCTCAATTATTCAGTTTAATAATAATAATAATATCGCTTTATTCCAAACAATATGTATGACAGTATGGAATTCTCAGCATGTAATTTTTCAACAAATTCACTCCAAGAACAATACTTTCAAACGAAACGGTTATTACATCGGAATGATGTTAATAATAACAGTATTCAATCCATTAATGTGAAATAGCCAGCTGGTTCTGGATGGGCAACTGGTCCATAATGAAGAATCACCAGAAATGCAAGCATAATTTTAGTGGTGGTGATTCATTCAGACGGTATAAAAATCTGAAATTCAAGCTAAGTATCTGACGGATAGAAATATGATGTACTTTTGTGCACCAAAACATCCATTTCCACATAACGTAACATCTTTTTTCTGCTTTGTTACTGACTCGAGAAATGGAGAGTTGGAAACAGTTTAAAAATGTGCAAGAGTACATGATACATTCAAAGGACATATTTAAATGATCAAAACAAATTGAAAGGAAAGAATTTGATGAAAAATGTTTGATGGATAAATTTGGTAGTCTAAGGTTTAAGCAAGCCGCCGAAAAAAAGGTGGAATATCACTATGAAGTTACTTACTCGTCATTCGGTGACCATTGGCATTCGAATTTGTCAAATATACAATCATTTTCGTAAAGTGCACACAATTTTGTACGGAAATAATCATGAACCAGATACGTTTCAACCGGTTGGCAAGGCATGTTTAAGTCCCAAACTAAATATGTGAAAGTTTATTGGAGGAAAATGCAAAAGATAGAGGAAAATATGGAGTAAAAATGCTGCATGAGAACAAGATATTTACATGTACACTAAGTAGTAATGCTAACTGCTCAAATTTATAAGAGTGGCGTTATAGTTCCATTTATATGGATATAAAATTCTGTTTGTACAATTTTCATATTTTGAGTGACAGATGATTCACTAATCAATACTTATTCTTGTCCAACTTTTTGAACAAATCACAGTATAGAATAAAAAAGAATAGTGTAATTCAACCCAGTACAGGTTTTTATTACCTAGGTTAGGAGCTATACTTATTCAGTGAGAGAAGCTTATATCATTTCACCTAGTTGCCCGGACCTGAACAACGGGCAGTTTCGAACACTTTTACAGTGTACATGGTAAGCTAATTTTTTTTTTTAAATCGTTAATTCGAAGATAGTATAAACATCCCACTGAGTAGAAATCAAATTTCATTTCATAAAAATAGTATAACTTGTTTCTTCCAGTCATTGTATTAACTAGTAAACAAGATTAAAAGTTTTTTTTATGAACTCATTATTGAGTCGATAGCTTGCAATTGTGTTTGTAACATCTTACCAATTCTGTAAATTTTCTCTTCCTTTGTTGTTGCGAAATGTACCAACCTAATGCAATTGAATACCCCAAGCTATCCATCTGCGTTAACGCATATATAACAATATATATAACAATAGTAGATCAATGAGAAGTTACAATTAACCATAAGGCAGATTATTTATTTGTCTAGTGTTCTTTGAGCAATACCATACACAATCATGCTTTTTAATTGAGGCGTTTAAACGAGGATAAGTGTTACAGTGGCTTTTACTAACATTTTCAAGTTACTTTTAGGCACAAGGCTAATCTTATAGGCACTCGGAAATATGCTCAGTGACAATTAAAGTACCCATTAGTCTATTTCAAATGATAACCTTAAACAACCAACTAATCAGGCAAGCCACTATAATTGCATAAGCTTCTTTAATTACCTTTTAATGTTAAGTAGTCGCGACTTAAAATATATCTGCCGGAATGACTAAAATTTAAATCCGATATATTGTTGATAATCTCGGAGAAAAAACATCGACTCATTGGATCATCTGTTTCCTCAAATGCTGCAGAAAAGATAATAAATAAAAAACGGTTTAAACAAATATTTTACACAACAATTAAAATAGTGTATATGCAATTTTCAAAAAATTCCTTCTATTATACGAAAACCATGTCCGTACAGTATTATTACTGAGAAAGGTTGGTCCTAATATATTACACTTAAAAGTGATATCTCGTAGGATCAAACTGTTTATGAATTAATCACTAGATGATAGTCAACATAACGCTATGGACACTAATACCTGTTACAACGCGAATCTTTATAGTGAATATGCTAAGTGAATATGTGTTGACTAGCTGATTGGTGTGATGTCACGATCAATTAGTCGATTAATCATGGAACCTAAAATTATTTACACAAATTCCCCATTCGATTTATAATTTGAAGATAAGACAACTGATGAGCAAATACTTATCGTTATTACGAGATATGAGGTTTGGTTATGTATAAAATAAATAACCTAAACCATATCTGATTGGAACTTATTTTACATATTAACATCAGTAGGCTAAAATTTACCGAAGGTCATTTGTTAACCAATGAGTTGTTCATGCTCAGATTTGCTTGATATATGATATAATCATATTAACACCAACTAATATCTGAGGAAATGTGGTTACCATACTCAATGACTTCACCTACTTATGTTACACGTGAATCTGGATATATCTGAGAGACTTTTATCTTATGTGAATAAAGTGACCACTGATTAGTATGAATCTTTTAGATTAGGATGGGAAAGAAAATCACTTGAATACATACGACTGAAAAGGCTTGAAAAAAAGAGCAACAAGTTATATGAAATTAAAATAAATCCAATGATATAAAACAGAATACACTGATATAGTTATGCTGCAGATATCGAATATCACATTGTAATGCTTTAATGATACGTCTGAGATGCTAAGCGTCTCAATCACTGATCTTGTAGACTATCTTTATCACCTAATTATGATGCCGAAAACAGTTTGATTCTATATGGTCAATCCATTATTGTAGCAATCCTAGTCCACAAGATATTTAGACTTAATGCTTACGTCCAAATATCAATCGAGTAGTTCACAACACATTGTATTGAAAATGATAATGACAAGACTTTTGTTCAATTCTATGTGAACATGTTTGAGTAGTAGTGAGAAAGAACCGTTTGCTACTGTTTTATTTCCAATATTTTACGAGTCGGATCACCAATATAGATTTAACAATAGCTCAAAAGGCTAGTTACTGGAACATTCTTAAGAATTCTTTTTTAAATACTGAGTGGTCTTATCATTGGTAGTGATAGAGATTCATATAAATACATACATACAAACATACATATATGCATATATACATACATACATACATACATACATACAGTAATATGGTGTAAAATCACTTTATCGTCTTACTTTCAGATAAATGTAGCGTCGACTAAATGTATTACAAGGCGGAGATAGTAGGTTTTTTTTTATGTTAAAACAGTGAAAGTGAATAACCACGCTAAAATAAAACACTATTTTTCAAACCATGAGAACGAATTTGCACACAACTTACATAACGCGTGTTCGTCACATAATGCACGTTGACGCATATCACACAGACGTATTGTACCTTTACTACTACTATAGATAAACAAGGAACATGCAGATGGATGAAATTGTGCAGCTGTTATCACTTCTGATAAATCTTCCATATTCAGTGGTTTCAAATCGACAATATCTAATGTGATAATTTATTAGTTAGAGAAAATGCTTTCTTGGTTTCAAAAGTCAACTTTGTTTCGTTTTAATTTCATGAACGAAATATACACATCAATTTAAGTTATACCTATACGAATGAGACTACTGATGCTAAAGATTAAACACGATATGTAACATGATTTGAATGAACAGCCACAATGTTACCCGCTTGGTGTATCAGCAGTTCATCAAATATAACGTTAATAGATGATATGGCCTTAATTTCAATTTAATAATCCATTGTTATGTCTGTCTACTTTATCAATCCACGTGCTAGCTCGCATCCAATGCAAATATCATACAGATAATTTTAAATGCCAGTGGTGATACCATCTTGAAATACTAGCTTAATTGACCTCGATATGTGTAACAAATGTTCTTTCAGTGGACTCCATACTGTTTACCGTTTGCTAGCTCTGGGACTAATTACAAGAATTACAGACGCGATCAGCTCATGATATCGGATTGTGTTGGGTCAGCATCTGTCGGTGCATCCCAACTCCTTGAACGCTGTCCATGAAATAACACGAATCCATGACTTGAAATACCCATAATCAAAACTAGTAGCGATTATGTTGTAATTTTGTTGTCTTTTGTCTGTGGAAAGTAACGCATGCAATAAAGGCTTTTTTGGATTCACCTTATGAAATTAACCATCTAATCACTCTTATTGAGCATTTCTTAGTGTCCAACGTGTTATATCAGGTTGTGTTTCAAACAAATAAGTAAATAATAATCAATAACTATTGCATAAGGGGTACGCTAAATTTACTGGGCAAAAAACTAAACAAAGAAAATATCATTCTATAGAAATGGAAATAAAATTTAGACATATCTCTAGCTCTCAAAATATGAACACATCCAACGTATTATTACTATCTTACACGAAAATCTCAGAGATCCGAAACTCTTTATTAGGCGCTTCACACATTTTAGATCTTATTCATATGAAAATGAATCGTCTAAGAAATCCCAATTATCACTTTGTCAAAAGAGTCGAAATCCACTCAGCAACCTTGTACACATCCGTGCAGTAGGCAGTGAGCCACACTGATTGTGTGAAGACTAATGGTACTACCCAAACTTCAGTAGGTGAAGTGGTCTTCGAACCTGTGCACCACTGGCTGAAAGTCAACTCGCTAATCTAATAAGCCACAATTCCACCAATTCTCTTCTAAAGTCAGGATGTTCATTACGTTAGGTTAACATACACCATTAAATAGCGGCTACATACTTAAAAGTAAAAAAACTAGTTTCAATATGACGTACAACTTCAATGAAGTCTACCTCATTCAAAAATGACTAAAAACCTTGGGTGTTATGTACCACCTTATTATTATTTATGTGAATAGGATTTTGAGAAATATGATAAGATCCTCCTCGAAACAACTTTGTGTACAACACTACGAAGCACAAACATCACGTGAACAGTTGACACTATTACAAGTGGGTAGGCAGGTTTTGATACTTGTGACCTGTTGGCAATGTCTCTTTAGTGTTCAAGCCAATAAAGCCATAGCTGGTTCCCAACCTGGTGTCAGTCAGATAAAAAGGGAAAAATCTAAGCATATTACACGTCAAATTAAAGGCCAAATAATGTCAAACAAAGAAGCAGAAAAGGTGACTATAGGTTGATTCTCACAATCGTCGAATCGAGTCTTGACATATTTCGGAAGCGATATAAAACACTACTTAAGTAAATAATTACTTTGATTACCTATGTGAAACACTTTGGGATTTACACTGATTGGTGGCTAGAGTTTATTCATTTATTTGCTTCCTTTGTACCATTAACATGTATCGACCACTTCATGATGTGTCGGGAAGCGTACAAACAACCTACACAATACCATCTGAACTAAGCAAAAACGCGTAAAGCTACCAAATGCAATTCAAAACGAAGGTATATAGTTAGAAAAGGATACTGAATGACTGGTCAGTAATTTCTAGATTCCATAGATTGATTCTTAAATCATCCGCGGACAAAAAAGTTTCTTGATCTGAATTCACTGATAAGGAATTTATCAGGTATGCGTGTGCATTAGCAAATATTCGCTTAGGATGTGCATCCATTACAGGCTCAATATCTTCATAGTACGGTACACGTAAATCTTCCTTATGATAAATTCGATGTGGCACTGACTGCTTTGAGGACAGACTATCGTCACCATTTTCACCATCATTAGTGTGTAAAAAATAATTTGAAGATATACCACAACCAGCCGAAGGAGCAACACGTCGACAACGTTCGGTAATACGCCATAGTTTTATCGTTTTATCTGTAGGAGAAACCGAAAAAGAATGAATTGGGAGTAATTCCCAAAATGAGAACATTTTCTAACTAACAAGTAAATTTCTTTGTGTAATAAGCAGTAGAAACTTCTAGAAGAGTAGTTATAGAAGATAATGAGAGTAATCACATTAAGCTCGATATAATTTAGCTATACATAATGCATAAATTTACAATCTTCCTTTCCGAAGTTATGCCAAACACGGAAAGCGTAACGATCTAGAGCAATAAACCAAGAGAAATGCTAGTACAATCAGAAAGTCCAAAAACTTATAAACCAAAGATAATCGAAACGACAATATATATTCATGCATGGGAAATGGAAACGAATGCATGAAATCAAAATCAGTCAGTCAGCGTCAACATGGGAACCAGGTATTACTTCGTAACGAAACAAGCTGCCATACTTCATATCAAGCACACCAAGGGAAAAGGCACCAAGATGAAAGCAAAATTAAGTAGTCAAAAGTGGTAGACAGTCGTGAAAAGAGAAATTTGGTATGGCGACTAAGAAGAAGATAGTGTGTAGATACATTTGAGCCACTAAGATCGATTTTGAGCTACATCACCTAGTCTTCGACGACCAATTTTGTGACCCAGACCAAAAACCGGAAGTCTACATTCTCGTACACAGCTCAAACGAACAGTCAGACTTTATGGATTGATGTGATGTTGTAATCCAGTCACCTTCGATTTCTTCTTAGTCTAAACCTACTTTAGCTAACATTGCACGATAGAGTAAGCCTTGACTAGGCATGTGTAACACGTCACAGCAACTGAGTCGATGTACCTCCACAACTTCATCAACTGATTTAACTCTTTTGTTCTAAATTTCATATCTGACATCTACGTTACTATCGTGGTGATTCCATGACACACAAACAGTGTTGTGAAGGCAATGTTGGTCGAACACCTGAAGCCCCTTCATATTCTCTACCATCAGTGGTCATATTTCAAAGCCACAGATAAGGAAGAAATAGCGGACAGATGAGTAGTGCACTCAATGCTTAATAGGCACTCGGATACCACAACCAATCCATAAATGGTGTAAATTGGTGAAGGTCAGTTCCATAATGCAGTTTACATTCACTTTTCACAAACCTTATTTGTTCCGACATCACCACGACTAGCTTTATATATATATATATATATATATATATATATATATATATATATATATATATATATATATATAATGAAATCCACAGTTCCTGTAAGACAATCTGCATCAACTGCGAAGATTTTTATTCACTGTCTAGATTGACTTCCTGCAGTATTTTCTTTTGACTGTTGAACAAACTTTTTTGAAATTTTGCTATTTCATATACAGCTGATCAAACGGTATGAATTTAAACACTATAAGACAAAAACCCAATGGACATATGAACTAAAATCTACGGGTTACTGTCCTGTAGCTTTACCATCTAAGCTGTGAGAGTCAACTATCTGGGTAGAGACAGATAAATCGATACAGGAACTCGCACAGAAGTACATCACTTCTGGCTGACACAGCCTATAGTGGTGCACAAGGCGGGGAAAAAAGAAACTGAATGATACTGAAATAAAAAAAATCAGATATATGAGAGACAATGCATAAATGGAAGTTGACGAGTTCGAATTTCTGGAAGTCATGATGAATGGACGTATTTCCACTACTGTGACCGATTTTGAAGTTCCCAAATAGACAACTTACATTTCCCTATGCACCTCAGACCAAAAACCAAATATTTCATAGTATCTTGCGTAACACAAGATACACGCCGAACACTCAAAATTTTGCTCAGGACGATATGAAGATTGCGTACTTTGTAGGTGTATTCGCCTGCATATATACTCTAAGTCAACCAGATGCACTTCTGACAGAAAGTCGATCGCTGATAAATCGCAGTTACGTGGTTACACTCATCAACACATCTATAACAAAGCTGAATAAGAATGAACAGAGTGAAAATTCTCAGGTATTGTCACCATAAGCTTTACGCGGCTACATGAGTTTGAGTAGAGCGCTTTGATTAATAAAATAGACTTGCAAAGCACAGCCTACAGGATAAGACACTGCAGCCACACCTCGAGTGACAAGGTCATGTACCACCTTCAGATCAAACAACAAATACTGTAAGTATACGTATGTTTCGGAACCTATCGAAGGGTAAAAATCTGGTCAATGCACTGCAATCAGGTATCTAAGCTATCTAGTTTTATCGGGTTAGATGTTAAATGAATGCGAAACCTAGGACCTTAAACATCACGTTAATCAGACTGGTTAAGTTGTGGTTGATGTAGGGTTTTTATTGTTTCTTATAACGCTTTAGATTAGTCTTATGAAGCTATCTCCAACTCTCATATGTTACCTAGTAGCTCAATTACTCTGATTGATAATTTCTCACTCATCCTTAAAAGCTTCTGGTGGCAAGTCATTGTTTGCTGTTGCTATGCATCTTTCGAGATCTAAATAGATTTCTTTACTTCGGTAAGAGTTGGAAGACAGATATTGACATTTTATTCCGGTTCAATCGGGCTGATAGGTTACTCAAGAGCTGCTATAGGTTAGCTGAACTGCTCTGAAAAGTTTTGCCCGAATAGTCTAATGATCTGTTTCCAGAGGATATCAAGGATTTTTTTGAATGTAGGCTCCCTAAACATCATCTTTTAGTAAATCTAAATAATAATCGGGTGTTGCTTAACAGCCACGCCTCAGTTTTTGCTTTCCACACTTATCACTTCCCCCGAGTATTATGAAGACACTTTGCCAGCTGCTTTTGATCCTTACACGTTGATCACCACCAGATATAATTAGTCCAAATTTAATTTTACTTCAGTTGATTACTTAAAATTAATTATGTGGTCTTCTAAATGGTCACTAAAAAGCTATCCTTATAGTAATTTTAACAGATTCGTACCTTAAATGACAAACATCTGCTAGCTTTCTCTTCAAACTCAAAATAGCATTAATACTCATAAAATGTGCAAGGAGAAGTAATGGGAGTGTTTATTTCTTTTCTTCCAATAAGATCAAATGGTAAGGTTATAAATCATACAGAAAAAGTGGTAAAAATTACTAACCATTTGTAGAGATTAAAAACCGTGCGTGATTAGCTCGTGGTAACCACCGAATCTTATTGATTTTCTCTTCAATTTCCAGTGATTTAAGGTAGTCGAATTCCGGTTCATGACTTACAAATGTGCAGTACACATTGTGGCTAACACACTTCTGAAGTTTTCCCTATAAATTATGCGAAAAAAAAGACAACTGTCATAGTATGCGATACTTGTCAGTGTATCAATAAGTAAAATTAAACAAATTATGTTCTAATCAAACAATTCTGAGGTAGGTAAAACACTGCACATTGCTGCAGCTTGCTACGAAAACGAAAGAAACAAGTTACCACTGCTCCCAAATACTGAAAGCTCATTTGACCGACAATAACCAGTAGAGGAAGTTATTTATTTGAAATCCCTAACCCATTGCTGTCAAAACGCTTGGATACCTATTAAACCACTGCTTATTATAACACAACCAGAAACGGGGACGTGGTTGATGATTCAAAATAAAAAGAGATATGTAGAGAAAATGAATTCTCTACTAGAAGACAAATCTAGACTGCAACATCTGCCAGATGGTAAGACCACTGCAGACAAATTTGAATGGAACCTATACATTTCTTGAAGTCATTGAGATAAGAACATATAATGTCTCTTGCATGTCAACAACTGAAGCCAACAGAGCAACCTTAATACCTAAATAAAACGCTTATAAAGACACACCACTGAGATCAATCCTAGATATATGCAAATCCCTATAACATATCATTAGACTGCGAAATGGCTGGCGAAAATCTAAGAGCTAGTGAGAAGGGTGACTTGAAAACATAACTTCGAGAATGCATTTGAATTCATTTATTTGGTTAAGCATCAAAATATGCAAAAGATAGTGCTACTCTTGTGTGTAAATTTGTTATTTATCAACATTCTCATTCAGACAAGTAACTACTTAAATGAGACAAAACAGGAACAAAGGATCACTATCAGTTTACCACTAAATGACTAGAAAGATCTTACTTTGAGATGGACAATGAACGCAGCTTTAATTCACTGAAGTACATCGATAAATAGATAGAGCGGTTATGGGTTGGTTCCTTAGATGACTGCAGGCGAACATGTTTGTGGTGAAGTTGGACATAAGGAAAATCAAAACGAATATGAAGCTCCCAAATTTATATTTCCGTTATATGAGTGATACACCCATCATATGGCAAGGATGTCAATATAGACCAACCATCGAAGCTCAATAAAACCCATAAAAGGACTGCTTTTACGTAAAAGATTGAAAGTCAGAACAAAATTTTCCTCTTTAATATCTTGATAATGAAAGAAGATGAGAAGAGCGTCAGTCTACCGGAAACCCATATAGAAGGGTCAATATATGACCTACTCACTGAACTTTGGAAACCAGTAGAAGATTTTTAGTTCTGAATTATTTTTAAGTACTCTGATAGATTGGAAATACTCAAAAACTATTCCAGACATTATCATGATAATTAGAGACACTGAAAGAATGACTGATCGTCGTTGGAAACTATGTTCTGGTAATACAGGCATTTGACCTACAAACTTACGATTGTACAATCAAACTTCAATCCATTTTATTGTTATTATTGTAATCATTATTACTGTTATTATTATTATTATTGTTACAACAGTGCAGCAGAGGCACGAAGAAATGCGCTGAACAAAATAATATAACAGCACTATGAAGACATAAAGGGAAAAGAAACGGATAAATGAAATAGAAAAACAATAAGAACAGGATGATTAGAAAAGCAGACCAATAAGATACATTCAAAATAAAACACTCATTACTGTTCAACAGCAGAAGATAGAAGGAAGCTACAGATGACCGCCACTGGTTCTGGTTCAGAGCAATATCTGATAACGTCTCAAGCTACTGAGTTGTGTGATCTCTCGGACTCCACCCAGGGAGTCGTGATGTACTAGTAGATATTACTCTGATTTTAGTGAATAAGACTATATATATATATATATATATATATATATATATATATATATATATATATACAGTTTGATGCTGTGGCTTTTTGGTTTGGTTTAGATACTCAACTTTCAAGCAATGAATCCCAGATTTAAATACCACTCCATCTACTTCAATCCGCGAAACATGTTAGCATCATAAACCCAACTTACTACATAAGCGAGTTGCACTACCATAACAAAGATTATTATTATTATTATCGATAGACAGGAATGCAAACGTATGATACGTAACTGAGTGAAGACAATTTTGTAAGGGATAATGATGCTAACTACTTGGTAGAAGCTTGGTAGGTAGAGGAAAGTTACTAACAGTGAACCAATTCATTTTAAAAAACCTGGGGCAGGTTACGAAACTATCAAAACGTTTGAGAGTAATAGAAAAATGCTACTCAGATGGGTCATTTTGTCACCTAATATCTGGTTTGTAAATACTAGCATTGCAACGCATTTCTGATAGTAATATGCCAGTGTTTGACATAGTGACATATATAGTAATAAACTAACCTCATTTTCACGTTTAAAAATCACAATCCGACCACCGTGATCACCGGTTGCTAGAAAATCTCCAGTTTTATCATATTCGACACAAGATATAATGTCAGCTAAAATAATGTGGAAATTGTAACTTAGAAATATTTTACAGCTTACCTTCATTTACATCTTCGCAAGTACCCTTGATCTGGTTAAAATACCAACCTTCTAAGTTTACTACATTGAACAAATTATAGGGTGAAAATAAACACGGGGTTAGAGAAATTTTTGTCTTAAGATGAAATGACAAAACAGAAATCAAGAGAACTGTCCTGTACGCATATTCAACAACAGCATACAACATGTATATAGGATCTCACTGTAAGGTCTTTGATCTGATTTCTCTCTCATAAGGTAGTGGAACCAGCATCAAGAGTTGTGCTTTGGTAGGTGGCAACTCGAAAATTGGAATGCACTCAGCAACCTTGCGCATATTCGTGCAGCAGGCGATGAGCCACACCTTTAGGTACTACCTGGCTGCCCACACCTTGGTAGGTGGAGCGGCGCTCGAACCCGTGACCCACCGGTTGAAAGTCATCTTTCTAAACCAATGAGCAACAGCTCCACTAGACAGCAAATGGAACTAGTCGATTACAGCACAAGAAACTTTAAAATCCCAGGAACCATGTATACTTCCAGTTAAGAATCAGGATTTTCTAGTATCTGTACATGGACTTCAGACATCCACCGGTGGACTTTAAGCACCGCACACCCATGTCCATAATTCAGCATTTGTCCAAATACCGTCACATGAAGTCGTTGAATAGTATCCCTCTGATACACCAGTTGCATGATAGTATTTCGTGGAAAAGGATGATTATGTCTAGGTCTAGTTTGAAAATCGACATTTTGAAGTAGGTACAAAAGTACATTTAATTCATACTTTGAAGAAATAGTTAATGACATTTTGATTTCACTATCACAATGAAGAAATTGACTTTCTGCTCTAGATGATGCAACTCAGCAATCATATAAAAGCTCTTACATTAACTGGTGGGCGATTGAGAGTTAATAAGATCACCTGGTAATTAGAACCACGGTAGGTGGAGTAGCGTTCAAACTTGGGACCCTCTAGTTGAAAGTAGGGTGAGCTACAATACCAGCTTCAAACATTTATTTGAACTTTCATCATCAAATAGTGAAACTATTCTGACAAGGTCTTTTCCATTCCTTATCTATAGCACAGGAAGATGAACGGACGCGACGTACAACACACAAAAGTGAACAGATTCAAGTCGCCATGCCTCGCAATAGTACAGACATAGAAAGTTCACAGAAGACAGTAAGGCATAATGTATATCAGTAGAAAGGAGGTAAATAAATGAAAACATATTGAGATGACCAGGATTTGGAAATATAGAGGATCCATCTGCATGACTGCAATCGACTTTGTGACAAGTAACCTAGCGCTTACTGAAATCATTAATTTCCAACATATTTACGACTCCGATTACGAAATAACTATTACTATACTTAGTAACTTAGATGAAGTTAGCAACTTCAAAAATTGATGATGCTTATTTTTGATACCTTCACATTTTTGAGATCTAGTCATGATGGGAAATTAACACGAATTTGAAACTGTACACCGGTTTCCCTAGCACACTATAAACCATACCTATTGTTTGACGACTATTAGCTACTTGACTCCTCAAACCTTCGTCAATGGTAAACGTTTTGAACCAGTAACCCAACAGCTGGAATATGGCTATCCACATTGATGAGACAGCTCCCAGCGGTACCAAAGAATCCACTGCGCATAGTAGTGAACAGTAACTCATTACTAGAGTATGATATCAAACCCTACCTTATCTATAAATGTTTGAACAAATACATAATATCTAAAAGCTCAGGGGCTGAAAACCTAGTGAATAAACACATAGAGGTTATTTTCATTGTGTTAAATTTACCTACCTGCCTATCACCTGTAAAAATTTCATAATGCAGGTAAGAGACCTATGGTGTTTGTTGCTCCTAAAGGTCCTATTTTTCTAGAGTAGCATTGCTGCTACAGCCAGGTATATAATACTAAGGAATAAACATTATGCTTTTACCATTATCCTGAGAAAAAGCTTACAGCGTAGCATTAGTGGGCATACGGATTTCTAAAGTAGAACAATACATTGTTATTGTACCCGCTTTTCGGGTGTTTTTTCTCCAGTGTAGCTATCAATATAAGACCTGGCATTGTTGCGCGACGGTAAACGTTGCCACAACTAACACCAGCACATGAATATATATGGCAACAAAGATACAACTCAGAGAAGTAAGAAAGAAATATTTAATTGAGAGTCATTGAATGTCATGAGAAAAAAAGAAAGAGAGTGAAACAAACAAAGAAGGGATACAACGCTCATGGCAAAGATAATGTGTGTATCTATCTGCGCCACTGACATCGACTGAGGTATCTCACCTAGAGTCTCAAGCCTTCGAACTCGGTTATCCCGTGGAACCCAACCAAGAACCAGCAGTCAGGGGATTCTATGAACTGATGCCACGTCTCAGTTTGGTCACCTTTATTTTTCTCAGCTTAAACCTACTTCAGCTAACATTGCACGATAGAGTAAGCCTTGACTAGGCATGTGTAACACCTCCCAGCAACTGAGTCGATGTACCTCCACAACTTCATCAACTGATTTAACTCTTTTGTTCTAAATTTCATATCTGACATCTACGTTACTATCGTGGTGATTCCATGACACACAAACAGTGTTATGAAGGCAATGTTAGTCGAACACCTGAAGCCCCTTCATATTCTCTACCATCAGTGGTCATATTTCAAAGCCACAGATAAGGAAGAAGTAGCGGACAGATGAGTAGTGCACTCAATGCTTAGTAGGCAATCGGATATTTCGCCGGTGCAATTATTTTAAATTTAAGATGCCATAAGACAGTTTTATACTTGAGAGAAAATTTGTGCTACTCAGTGAACTAGGATAACAGTAATTTCTCACTAATAAGCGTCATTCTCAGTTGATGCTCTGTTTTAACAAGGGAGCTTCAAAGAAGTCATTTCTCGAATAAGCATACATGTTTTCGTTTCCAAATGGATTTTCATTGTCACTGAGAGAAATTTTAAGTACGGGATTAGAATACTTAAATCCAAAGCCAACCAAGTATCGAGTGCACTGCTCATCTGTTCTCCGTGAAACGCGACCACTAATGGAAGAGGATATGAAGGGGCTTCAGGTGTTCGACTAACATTGCCTTCATAACACTGTTTGTGTGTCATGGAATCACCACGATAGTAACGTAGATGTCAGATATGAAATTTAGAACAAAAGAGTTAAATCAGTTGATGAAGTTGTGGAGGTACATCGACTCAGTTGCTGGGAGGTGTTACACATGCCTAGTCAAGGCTTACTCTATCGTGCAATGTTAGCTGAAGTAGGTTTAAGCTGAGAAAAATAAAGGTGACCAAACTGAGACGTGGCATCAGTTCATAGAATCCCCTGACTGCTGGTTCTTGGTTGGGTTCCACGGGATAACCGAGTTCGAAGGCTTGAGACTCTAGGTGAGATACCTCAGTCGATGTCAGTGGCGCAGATAGATACACACATTATCTTTGCCATGAGCGTTGTATCCCTTCTTTGTTTGTTTCACTCTCTTTCTTTTTTTCTCATGACATTCAATGACTCTCAATTAAATATTTCTTTCTTACTTCTCTGAGTTGCATCTTTGCTGCCCTACGTATTAATGTGCTGGTGGAAAATGAAGGATGAAAGAAATACACTGGGAAACCTTATGTACATTCGTGCAACAAGCAATGACTCACGTCTATTATGTGAGGGTTAGTGATACTATACCTGGCTGCTCAAACATTGGTAGGTACAGCCGGGTTGGAGCCCGTGACACTGGCTGAAGGTCAAATCCCTATGCCGATAAGCCACAGCTCTACATTTGCTGGTGCGAGTTGTGGTAACTTTTACCGTCACACAGTAACCTGAGTGATATTAGGAAAAGACAAAAGTGATATAGATGATTTATAGGAACAGAATAAGAGTCGAAATGTATGCAGAAAATCAAGGTGCCAGTTTCAAACATACATTCAAGAAATAATTCGCTACTATTACTCAACGTTACGATAACAGAAGAAAAGAAATTTGCAGCAAGATCACCATTGGTTTTGATTCTGGGCAACATCTGACATCATTTTAGGCTAATGAGTTGAGTGCTCTCGAATCCATACTCAGAGTCATGTAGAACCAACGGATGCCAACGTAGGACAATCGGCCTCCATCCTATAAACTGAAACCGTCAGTTAATCGATTCACTGCTTTGGTTCATCAGACTGAAAGTTAGCAAACAGTGGAGGCTGTATGAGCCACTGGGACAAATTTCGTAACAAGTTCAAGCTTCTGAAGTTTATCTTTGACGACTTGGTCCAATGAACGTGGATATGTGGCTCAGTGGTTTAAGGAAATGGCTATCAGCCAATGGGTAACAGGTACGAACCCGTTCCACATACCGAGGTCTGGACAGCCCAGTAGTATCATTAGTCCTCATACAATAGGTGTGGCTCATCATCATCATCATCAACATAGGATCATACATTACTGCGCAACGTTCCGAGTTGCCACACCTCATGTCACCACAACAAGTAAAAAGGCAGTCAGGCGCAAAATGAAGATAAGAAAATTCAGTCAAAAAAAATATATAAAGTACGAAAAGAAAGGAAGAATGAGAAAATAGTGAGATTCGGTATGACGTTAAGATGAGGATAATGTGTGTATACATCTGCGCCACTGACATCAGTCCTGAGACATATCACCTAGAGTCTCCAACCACTGGTTCCTCTTGTCCCGTGGACCCCAACCACCTAGTTTGCATCGCCCCACATGGCTCAAACCAACAGTCAAGGACTTCATACATTGATGCCATGTTTTATTCTGGTCGCCTCGGGTCTTTTTCCAGCCTGAACCTACTTCGTCCAACATTGTGACGAGGTAGACGGCGACTAGACATACGTAACGTGTCCCAAACATCTTAGTTGATGAAGGTTCATAACCTCATCAAATGACTTACCTTTTCTCCCTAAAACTCTACACCTAACTTCTGCGTTGCTTACGTGGTGACACCACAGAATACGGCCTACGAAGCCAACGGTGGTCAAACACCTGAAGCCTTCTCATGTCTTCCACTTTCAATGCCCATGTTTCACAGCCATACAGTAGAACAGACCGGACTGCTGTGCAGTACACGCGACCCTTAATAGACAATCCGATATCATGGTGGCGCCACAGGTGGTGTAAGTTAGCGAGAGCCGACCGAGCCCTTTGTATTCGTGCAGATTTCGTCGGCCACTGAACCACCAGGCCTGATCTTACTTCCCAGGTAAGTGAAGTGGTCGACGCACTCAACCACTACACTGCCTATTGTTAGCCGTGGCACCGTTGAAGACTAACCCTAGAGCAACAATTCGCATTTGGGCGGTGAGAAACGCATCCCAAATATTCTCAAATTCCCACTCAAAGTGTTCAGAAGACTCTGTATCTTGTCAGTGTCGTCATCTAACAGGACTATGTCATCTGCGTATTCTAGGTCTAATGAAAATTCTCCTGCGATTAGGTCAACCTATGTGTAATTAGGTGACGAGAGGGAGACCTCCACAAGAATATTAATGATAAAATTGAATAAGAATGGAGACAGTGGGCGCCCTTGACGGACCACTTGATGAGCATAGCTCCCTGGACATCTCCCCATAGGCTCTAACATGCCCACAAGTGTTCGAGTAGAGAGCCTTCAATACGGTGATAGTGTGGCTCATTGCCTACTACATGTATATGAACAAGGATGAGTACTTTTTCTTCGGCTCAATGAATAGCGGCCTCAACCACGTTAAAAGATGTAACATCTAGCCTCAGAATTACTGATGAAGAGATCCTATATGATGCTAAAAGTCCCACAGAGAAAATGGTGATCTAACGTGCGGTTATCGAAAATCCTTTAGATAATGTAATTAGAAGACGGAGATTATCTGAAAAATATGATGTATTTGTGCCATACATTTCCTTTACTTGAAGCCAGTTTTCACACTTGTAGAGTATCGACGCTCCGTATACCGGACATTTCATACCTAGGTTACTATCATGACGGCACCAAGGTTAACTGAGACTGATATATACTATGCTGGCTTTTCATACACTACCAGAAATATCATACTTCAGACAAACAGAACTCATATAAGCACGCAGATACAAAAACTTCTCAACAACTTCTACAAGTTCACCGCCAAGGGTGAATCTACGCAAAGTTTCATGTCAACCTTTCGAAAGTATTTTGCACCTCGATAATGCAGAGCACATGCATATTGACACATCGATTGATTGAGGGCGATCTGCATATAAAACAGTAAAACTAGGTTATCCGCACGCCTAGGGTGGGAGATTTTCACCTGACAGTAAATCTATAGCAGCACAACGATGCAATTTATTCGGAGTCACCTCAAAATGTTATAGATACCTGCTACAGAGCAATGGCGAAATTAGGCGACACTGCTTAGACCACTGTCAATTTGAAACAAAGGGGACAAGTGGTTGTACGCCTTCACTTCTTCAATATGTTAACCTTCTCCAAACCTCCTGAACAGACAACAGCACGAAGAAGGCAGTCATAACATCCAGAAATAACGATTGTTAGCGTTCAAGCAGCTGGTGCAGGATGATCAACTTATCAACCTGAAACAAGTTCTGGTCTGCAATTTACCGACCAGTTTTTGACGAGTTTTGAAGAGCTTGAAAAATATGATAAGATCCAATATTTGACGCAACCAAAGATAGACGGACGCCTTGCTGGTTGTTACATGTTACTGAGGCTCTGTTAGGAGGTGGAAACGATTATTATCCCATTTCAAAATGATGAAACACTCCATCTACCATACCTCAAACAATCTAGCTGATTTCCAGAGTACCTTTTCAATCTCATCTTTGAAAACAGAAGCAGTTATATACTTTGGGGTAGGTGCTTTTTGGTGTTTCTAAACTTCGATTTGCTTTCGGATCTCTATTTCGACGGGTCAGAGAGTTTTAATCAACCACGGAACAAAAGATACTAAGGTCAATGTTGCTGAAACAAAATGGCAACTAAACTGCTATCTCAAACGCTCCACCAAAGATTTTAAGTGCCTATAAGCATTACAGATTGGCATAACACCCATTTTACAGACTATTTCGTTGACACGACGTTTCTTGCTGCCAGTAGTTTAACTTAGTAATAGCTTGCGAACACTACCACCTGCACTATCACTTGTGCATTTTGATGGAAACCCCTGTTTTCCAGCAAGTTGGTGATATGATGCGTAACAGACTTACGAACACCGCTTTAATGACTGACTACCGGGATGGACTGAAGAGCAGTAAGAAGTTGAAAGGAGGTCGAAGAGATACCAAATATCTAAGTAAGACACTCGTCAAAACAATAAGAATTTTTACGTGTCAATTTCATAGCATTTCCCAGGTGCTCGCAACGCACACCTAAATCCCTTGCAAGTTCGACAGTCAGGCTTGAATCTAGCTCAAGCGCATACACGTCTTATCAAAGTACGTTTATGAAACCAAATTTCCGCCTACAAAAATACTTTTCAATAAATTATGTGAACCTTGCCCTTGAAGTGGTTAATCCAGGTCAATGTCAGTTGTTAAAAGCTCAGTAAACTTGCATATTTTCAACAGTCTTCGGAAAGACTAGTTGCTCCTCACTGCAAATTCTAACTGCGTAAGATAAGGAAATTACAAAAGTAGCTCAACCAAGTAACTTCTGATGCTTTTATATACAAAGTTGAGTAAAAGTCTACCGTTTGAGGACTAATGACATTTTATCTGGCCATCCTAACTTTTGTGGCTCAATCAACTTAGAGGGCAACAAGTCACAAGTTAGAATGTCAAACAATTTTATTTAGGACATTCTGACTGCTAATATAAAATTAAGTGGTTCGATCACTGCATTAAATTCCAAGAGAAAAATTTGAGAGATTTCAAGAAAAAGTCCAAATAACTTATCAGCGTTAAAAGAAGAGAACGCTAAGACAAGTTATTTACTAATGTGCATCGACTGGCGCCACAACTTCGAAGCGTTTTTGCGTGGTCCAACTCTCTATTCTTTCAAATAGTAAATCTGCAAGAAATCCATAACTTTCCTAATCCGCCAATATATTATCAGACAACTGCTTATCGACTATTATAGTTTCAAATGGTTCAGTTAGTGATAGCGGAATAGAAGCTTTCGCCTAACTGGCTTAGGGTTTCCAGAATCCAGTTAAACCTCCAACAAAGTGAAGCGAAAGATTTGATAAACTTAATCAAAATAAGCGACAAGAACCGAAAATCCCCTCGCGATTATCAAGCGACACTGAGTGGTACACTTAATGTTTGTACCTGTTAGTGCAAAAGCTGAAAGTGAAGTGAACCTTGCGAAATTTAGTAATTCACTGTTCACTAAGAGTTAGGTGCTGAGTAATAAATGTGAACAACTCAAGATGCAATAACAGTAAATAACTAAAACCTACCCCCCATCAGAACAGCGAGGTCAGTTTACTGTAGCGACAATTGACGACGGGTGCGCCGTTTTAAGTGAAACATAACTCTCGAAAATGTCAATAAAATCTTTTTGAAAAACGTTTAGACCTCACCAACAATGCGGAAAAGTTCACAGTTGTTTGAATAATTTGATTTAAGTATTTCTGAAGCAAAAAAAAACAGGATTTGCCTGCTTGAGTTTCAAGAACCCATGATGAGTATTGCTATTCAGTCTACTTTGAGGGCAATGAGTCATGTTTAGTTTTCGTTGTCAAGCAAATTATATCGATTTCGAAACACTGAATTAGTTACTGCATCTATAATCTCCAGCAAACTACACAAGCTGGGCCTTGTGACCACAAACTTTCCGAACCCAATCATGTAACGTAAAGAAGCTGAACATTCTTCACTATCCAGAAAATATTTTTGCAGTTATACCGATATACCTTATCTCTGGAATTTAGCAAGTAGTAGATCATGTTCCCGAAACTGTATTGCAACACGATAAATGCTACTTAATAACGCTAGTAATTGAAGGTTAAGCTACTCAGGCAATGTGCAAAAGTTGAATTGTGCTTTGGTTGCAGTAGCCACGTACTGCACCTTCTTGACACCGAAAAAATTAGTCTTAAAGTCCATATGGGAATATCTAAAATATTTAAATAATAGTCACATAGTCTGCTGAGGCATCATCAAGTGTCTTCGGCATAGTAAATTTCCTTCTAGTTTGATGTCCATAGCTAAATGGCCTCTGTTTTCTGAAACCTCTGTGTTCGTCGACACCTATACATACGGCATCCATAGTTAAGCCACCTGTAAGCATGAGTCACAAATTTTTCCCTAGAAACCATGTTTCTACTGCAGACTAGTAAACACATTTCTCCCGTTAACGATTTTATCGTTTAACGAGTTTTCGTCTTAACTCTGAATATCAGTACTAATATGTAAGTCATACACTGATTAGTTTGCTACTGGTGCACACAAATCTGCATATGACTTTTCGCGTGCTAGGTAACAGCAACATAACCAGCCTACTACATTAATAAGTTTAACTTAAAGTAATGTCTAAAACAACTGATTGACGTCTCTCTGTTTTCAGTGGTTTTCACGGGCATAGCTTGGGTTTAGTTAATTGGCTTGTGAAAATTATTTTTAAGCCTGACTTCTGGCTGAAAGTGTCGTATTTTTTGGCTACGTTTAGATGTAAAACCTGACTCAATTCGTTACTGATTTTCCTGGCATCGTGTGGACTTGTGCATTCCTACTGGTGCTTTATTTACCTTCAGTTTCTTGCTTCATCACTGTGATATTCCAAACAGTGGTTGCCAAACTGAAATGTCATGGTTCGGCAGCTTGAGCAATAGATCCTCCATAACTACATAACTTAAGGATAAAGATATTTATTTACTTATTTATTTATTGATTAACTACAGTCCATTAGTTTGCCTCCATATCATGCTTCAAACAAGGGGGTGATGAAACTGATCTTACATAAACTGTGAGCCATTAGAAACTGGGTTGCATAAAGAGATGAGGTGCTCGATTACGAACGCATATGTAAACGTGACAGTGCGATTCTAAGCTTGCTCACAAGAAGCCTGGAACACCGAGCGAAAGAAAAATAAAATTTGCCGAACGCAATGTGCTAATATTCGTTTCCCTACTTCCCTTCAGGTGTAAATCTTCCCGCACGGACAAAGAATGGTGATGACAAACACAGTCACCGAGGTAATACCAGATTGTTCATTTCCTCTTTCTGGTCACACGAGTTAAGTTCAAAGTGTTTGACCATTGTTTCCTCCACTCGACGAAGTAGAAGAGGTGATCGTTGCTAATCTGATTTAAAGACTGAAGATCTGCCCGCGCTGTGCCTTGGATTAACTAAACGGCAAGTGGTTGAACTCGTGGGCGAATTCGACTCGTTCAGTAGCAAGTCCAGTGGAACACGTTCGGAAAAATGAACACTTGCCCATCTTTTGTCCTTCCAATAAGCCCTCCTTGGAAAGGGCGTGTTGTATACCCCATGTAAGTTTGTTCGGATTCATGTCCCAATATCTCCCCAATAATGAAACCGATCTTGTTTATATACACCGGACAACGAACAACCCGATTAGTTTCACCTTTTTGAAGCCTGTGGTGATTGTCTTTTTGCTTACCTGTCTTAGTCGTGTGCTCAGTTGACCCATGTAGGCTGGGATAAGGCCTGTAACATTCTGATCGAGCACGGGTGGCGAATGCTCCTGTTATCCGATTCACGTTGGAACGGGCTCAGAAGTAATACCATTGCGCGCACTTAGACCATAGAAGTCGTCACCGACAAAATGCGCGTGATTTCTTAAATACGATCAGAGGTGACGTTGAGTGGGCAATAGTCCATCTTAGACTGATGCATAGTATGACCAGTGTTGTACAGAGGAATCAGTTTCGCCGTCGGCTAAGTTATAACGAAAGGGGCCGCTAACTTTCCAACTTTCGCCTAGAAAGCATAATATCCTGCCCATACCAACCAGATGAACACCGACTCTTACACACTGTACCTACATTCTTTCCCTCCGAACGTGCTTTTGGATACTTCTTGGCAGAACCATCCAGACAACCAGTGTCCAACAGTTAGGTCACCTCAAGGGGGACTAGCTGATTGTGTAACATGCATCCTGAGCAAGGTTTGTTAACTTTCTTGAACAACATTCCAGCTGGTCCCCGTTTGCAGTCCTTCGGGCAAAAGCTGCTGCAGTTTAGACATGGTCGAGCTCACGACCTTCGTGATAAATGTCCACATCGACCTTCTTTTAATCGACAAATAAAAATCTCTAAGCCGACTTTTCGTGCTCGCAATCTGTTGTGAAGCTAGTGTCTGGGAGTACACCTTCCAAAACCTGAAACATCGCTGAGGCACGACTCGTATTTATGGAAGGGTTCCTACGCTAACTTGTCGATCGTTAAGGCAGATCGCCAATTATTCGTACCTGTTATGTACCCAAATATCTAGATTTCAGGTCCGTTGTTTGAGGACAGAAAACTGTGAACCTATATTAATCCTTTTTTAGTTGATCTCTGTGCGTGTCAGCGAGCCAATTAATGACGTGGAAACCACATATTCTGGGAGTCGGAGTCGGTTTGTTACTCGATGCGAGAACCACTACTTTACGGAGACTAAGCTTACCTTTCACTTTTGTATCCTCCTGCTATGTTCTCTGGGGCATCCTGAGCCAGTGGGAAGGAAAAGAAAAGATAGATCAGGTCCAAAGTCATTTCTTAGAATCCTGTACAGTATGATTAGATCTCCATCTGCCTACGAAAGGACAAAGAGACGAAGTTCATCTCCTTTGGTCGATCTTCCTAGGTCAGGCATCGCAGGGATCATACGAATAGCTGACCTCTGAGCTCTTTCTAGAAGATCTAGGTCAGCTTTCAGATAAGGATATGCCGCCCGTGTATAGCTACCTAATGCAGACCTAGCTAGGAACGCGTACAAAATGGTGGGCATATCACCGCTTGTATTTACAAATGTTCTGCGTACAACCAAAAGTATCCTTTATTCACAATTATGCCCGTCGTATTATATTTCACAACATTATGTCCACATCAACCAAAATGGTGTGGATAGCGTACAAAAATGCTATATATATTTAGCGGCCACTTTGTAAAATGGTATTCTGCCACTATTACTGGTCGACTTCAGTGTGTTTAAACTAGCATCTGGTATTCCCGAAAAGCGATGGGGTTTCTTTCCTCCCCACCACGCAGTGTAACGCGAACCATATTATCATGCTTTTACTGCCGTTTTTATCCTCACCATACCCATGATTCAAGCAACTGCTGGGACCGGATTTCAAAATCTGAGGGTCTATGGACGTACATCCTGGGTTAATGGCGCAAACATCTGGCCCACTTCTTCAGTAATCATCATTGTTTCGATTTGTCAAACGGCAGCCTGCTTCAAAGTCAGGCTACCAAAACTTCGAGTGTTACTAAAAGCCATCGCCTGGGTGGCCGTGCGTTATGGCCCTCTAAGAATCGCCCTGGTGCGAACTTGGCAGACGCAGAGGCCAATCACTAATTATTCGAACTGGTTATACACCCATGAATGTGAGACCAAGGAAGAGCACGAGAGCGTAGTCGGGTGGAGTAGTATATTTGGGTGGTTGCGCCAAAATACCGATGAGTCCCAAGTAACTGGCTGGAGAGTCGATTACGAGCGATGCAACGTAACACGATGGCGTGCCAAATGGCGAGGATGCTTGACCGGGAGCCTACAGCTTAGCGAGTCCAGCTAGACCACCAAGGTCAGCATCAATGTTGAATCTCGTCAAACCCTAGGTTGTTGATTCCGAGGAAGTGTGTGACGCTACAGCCCTTAATTGGAAAAATGCGTGTTGTCTCTCTTCTGGAGGTATATCTTGCCTGTTTTTATACCACGAAACGTAGTTAATCATTTCGTCGTTCTTTGTAAGGTCTCTGCAGGGAAACTGCCGGCCGCGCTAGATGTCTTCGTCGAAAAACTTAGTTTATTTGGGAGGGAAGACGGTCACAAATAAGAGCAGGTTAATTGGGCCCTTAAATTCTTATAGGGAAGAATTATAATTGCTGTTTTGACCTCAAGTCAATTTGCCGTTCACAGTCAGCGAAATCGGGTAGAAAATCAGGGAAAAGTCTCAGCCGCTAAACACTCTGGACACACTTTGAAACTTTTGGGCCGAAAACAACACTAAAAAAATTCAGGATTACTGCTCACAAGGCATGGTCACGTCCAAAACTGTGGGAAGTTTTCCCAAAAATTCTGAATTTGTCGAACTGAACCTAAATTATGCCTAAAAATTCCAAAATTACAGAGGCCACCCGAACCTTATAACGAAAATTGTCTAATGAAGCCAAAAACTATAATTGCCCGGAATTCCACCCAAAAATATCGCTTGTACCCGATTTCACTACCTACCCTCCATTAAAAAAGTTAATAAGTATGCAAAGTTCCATTCAGTGGAAACTACGGTTACGGT